TTGGATTTTGAAAGGTCATGAACGAATGAAGACTGGATATTTCTGTGATATCTGTTATTCAAACCAGCGTTACTTTGCTTCTTTTTCCTGCATGTAACCTATTCATTTTATCGTCTTTTATCTCTGCCCTTACTCTACACGTCTTTCCCGTTTGTATCTTTATCCTCAGCCGCCCGCTTCATTTCTTAAAACTCTCCTGTTTTGTCTCGTTAAAAAAAAAAAATATCATTCTATTTATCTTTAGCCAGAGTTCCACGCGCATCCTCCACGTTTTTCGATCCTTTTTCCGCCTCCAACCTCCAAACCGGAAGTATAAGAAACAAGAACTACAAGACGTATTGAAAAAGACCACGTGACATAACGTGGGTGACCGCTATAAGAGGCCCTGATAATGGCGGTTAGAATTATTTGATGACGCTGGTCACGGTCGATAACTGGCAGGGCAGGTAAGCCGTACGTAAAATCGGGAGGCGAACAACTTATACGCAAAAGCAAAAGTTTGTATGATATTTGCGCCATAATATTCAAAGAAAGGAATCAACTTCAGAAAAACGGTTACTGAAAATAGTGGAATAAAAAAAGAATGGAAGAATTTCAAATATACGACTTTAAGATAGCATTTAATGAATTGGTGCTGGACAGTTTAAGAAAACTTTATTCAATCTATTACCGGTGGGAGCCTGACTCATATCGTCCTGGGTATGACGATAACCTACATCCGCGTCCTGGGTATGACGATAAACTACATCCGCGTCCTGGGTAAGACGATAAACTACGTCCAACAGCAAGGCCTCTGATCAGTAGGTTTTGAGGAGCGTGGAACCAACTCTTAATTACTGGTGTTCCTTTTTCTTTTACAACCTTATATCAGTCCGATTCCGAATTTTAATTCAAGCGAAGACACAGAGAATCAGTCGACATGAAAAAAGGAAAAGATTTTATGGCAAAACAAGATCTTCAAATATTAGCGAAAAATATTAAGGTAGAGTTCGGAATCGACAAATGTGCCAAAGCCACCTTCAAAAGGCGGTAATTAACGAAAACTACGGATTTAGACCTTGATACCAACAACAAGATTGGGGAAGTATCTTAAGTTGGTATACATATAAATACTTAGGGAATTAATGAAGAAGACAGAATACAGCATTCAATTATGAAGAAAAAGATCTGAAAAGAATATTATAGGAGACGTTTTAGAGTTAGTTCAAGTCGGATTAGACCTGGGCCTCTTAAAGCTGCGTCCTGGGTAAGACGATAGACTACGTCCAACAGCAAGGCCTCTGATTAGGAGGATTTGAAGAGAGTGGAACCATCTCTTAATTACTGATGTTCTTCTTTCTTTTACAACCTTATATCAGTTCGATTCAGAATATTATTTTACTGAACTCGATTTTAATTTTGCCGATGGCGCTCGTGATACATAACACACGTCCAATCTAAGATACACTGCGTTTCAGTTATTGGTATGACGATAAACTACATCCACGTCCTGGGTAAGACGATAAACTACGTCCAACAGGAAGGCCTCTGATCAGGAGGTTTTGAGGAGCATGGAACCACCTCTTAATTACTATTGTTCCCAGGTCCATCCCTGACCCGGGGTGGTAGCACCTGTTAGGGTCCCAGCTACGGGCAAATAGTTAACTGGGTGTTAACTGGGGTGAAAACATTATGAAAGTGTGAAAATAGGTTTTAATACTAACAATACATTTTTGGAAAAAAATTATTACCAACAATAAATTATTACCATCAATACATTTTTGAAAAAAAGTATTAGCAGCTATACATTTTTTGAAAACAATATTACCAGCAATAGATTTTTGAAGAAATAAAAATATTACCAGCTATATATTTTTGGAAAAAAAAAATATTACCAGCAATAAAAAAAAAATTGTCGGGATTAAATAATTCACTGAGGTTGATATGCCGTAAACAAAACAAATCAAGCCAAACATGATTCATATCTACGAAGCATGTGTGGAAAGTATCAAGCCATTTTGAATACCTACGCTACTGTTACAAGATGCTAAGCCTAGCGCCAGAACGGTCAGCAATTGGCCGGAGTGCTTCGTGGGCGGGGCATTCTGACAATGATGGATTGCCTTTGACTGGGTTTATCATATAAGTTGAAAAGGCGCGAATTCAACAGTGGACCTCAAGAATTTTTAATCGTCAATACGCTTCCCACACACAGGTTAGAGACCGGCTTAGACCACCCGCAGAGGGATGCTGAGTCAACCTACGACATGCGTTCCCGGGACGTTATTTCTCCTGCTGCTTCTTACAATCCAAGCTGTCAACACTCTGTGAAAATAAAGCGAATAAACGAAAGAAATCATCCTTTTCTTTTAATAAGTAGTGGTGTGATGATCGAGAAGCGACACAGAACGCAACATTACCCACTATGTATAATTTATATAGCGTGTGAGGAGAATAAGTTAAGTTTAAGGATTTTGGAAAAAAATGTTCACCTGAAATCCACATGTGTTTTTTAGGAAAACGGCGAGTTGACACTAACAAGCCTCGGTGAATTGACATAAGATAGGACACCGTATAACGGAAAAAGACGAAAGATGTGGCAGATTTGGGTCTTTTCATACACCAGTGAATTAACAAATCGGGAATGAGCGAGAATTGGCTCCTTGCTACTTATGGACGCTCGTTTATTAGTATCGTTAGTACATATCCCTATATATATATATATATATATATATATAACTTTTTCAAAAAACACAATTGGCTCACTACAAAGATGCGACATCGTTTCAGTGCATTTAAATTTCACTTCAACTGGTGAAAACAAATTATTGCATTACTATCGGTATTGAGCCTTCTTTTGAATTAATGCTGAGAACGTTAGAATTTATATATTATTTCCGTTCTCATTACATTCGTATCTCTCTCTCTCTCTCTCTCTCTCTCTCTCTCTATATTTATATATATATATATATATATATATATATATATATATTTATTTTTATTTTAGGATATTACATCAAAAACCTGTAAAAAACGCTGACAAATGCAATCAGGTTTCGATGCGTATTAACACATATCACCAGGCACCTGAATATTGCTTACTTTTATTGATCCCTCTTTTGAATTGAGTATTACGAACGTCGCAATTGGACTCTATTCATCCTCATTTTACATGGATATATATATATATATATATATATATATATATATATATATATATAAAAATTTTCATAAAATATGAATATATATATATATATATCGGAAATGGACTCTATTCATTCTCATTTTAAATGGATATGCATACATATATATATATATATATATATATATATATATATATATATATATATATATATATATATAAAAACAGTAGTGATTGTCACATTTTTACTGTGATGATTTGGGACCTGTTGCAAAATGGGACAGATTTTGTAATGGCTTCCGATTCTTTTCGACGTCTATGGTCCCTAAGAAGACTCTTGAAACTAGTATATATGACAGATAAACGCTGTATCCTTAATAGGGTTGATTGGATCTGCATGTCCTACGACTCCATTGTATTATTGTTGATGAGTTATGTTGCTAGAATTGATTTGATTCTTGTTGTTACGATGACCTTTCAGATATTTTACATAACATGTCCTCTACACCAGCATGCCCCCCCCCACACACACACACACGACATATCCAAGTTTTTAATTAGTTGGTAAATCAGAGTGAGTGCCTCTTCGGAGATCCTGCTTGTTCTGAACAAGTCTGAGTCGTTCATCCTGAAAAGCGTTACAATTTGACCCGGTGCTCCTGCTATTTATTTAGAGATTCCTGATAGAAACCAAAGGAAAATCTGCAATATTATTGGTGCGGACCTGACGTCTCGGTTTCAGTCACTTTCCAACCGCCGTAAAGTTGTTTCATTGTGCCATTTCTATAAATACTTTCATGCTAATTGTCCGGCTGAAATCTTTGCTATGGTACCTAGACTTTATGAATTTAAGCGCATTACTAGATTGGTCTTATCAATTTAAAGTTGGATTGACTAGATGTAACCGTAAATTCTGTGCTGTTTCTTTTCTCACACTTCTTGCGCGTGGGACGCTCTTCGTAATCAAATATTTAAAGGCAATGTTAAACCAAAGGAAATTCATCAATATTATTGGTGCTGACCTGACGTCTCGGCTTCAGTGATATATATATATATATATATATATATATATATATATATATATATTAATACATCTTAAATGTATGTATTATATATAATATATATATATATATATATATATATATCTTAAATATATGTATTATATATATATATATGTGTGTGTGTGTGTGTGTGTGTGTGTGTGTGTGTGTGTGTGTGTGTGTGTGTGTGAAAATATATAGAAAATAGGAAAGAACTCGTTGGTAAATAATCCAAAGTTCTTTAGTATTTTTGTTATTATTTTTTTAAAAATAGTACTCGATACAAAAGTAGAGCATAAATGTAATTATTAATTTTAAAATATGATTCCAACGTGCTACATAAGATGAGAACTCTATATAGCGTGTTGGAATCATTTTTAAATTTTAATTATATATATATATATATATATATATATATATATATATATATATATATATATAATTATCTATTTAAAATTATAACATAAATGTTATAGAATCACTACAAAATGGCCATTTCTTTTTCAACACCTTTGGTGACTTGTCAAATGATGATGTTGGATGTAGATTGTAGAATAAAGTTTTTTAAAATAGTAATGAATAGTTTTGAATAGTAATTGTTGGGTATTAGAGTATATTTGTATACACCAATCATGTATATATATATATATATATATATATATATATATATATATATATATATATGTGTGTGTGTGTGTGTGTGTGTGTGTGTGTGTGTGTGTGTGTGTGTTAATTTTCTTTTCTGAATTGGTTAGTGTCATTGTTTCCTCTGCCAATGTTTATTTTTTGTTCTCTATCAATTGCATCACTTTCCATTCTATTTCATTTTTCTTTCCATAATGACTAATCGTTACTCTAGGTTAGCCTCCTCTCTCTTGCATGTGGCTGCACCCAAACACGGAATATTAAAGACAAAAGCCCGTCACACAAATGCTAACGGGAAACTATTTAATACCTTTAAGGTCACGTGATAACGCTTAACAGACGTTCCCGCAAAAGAGCGGTGCGTCAAAAGGACTTTTCTTTCTCTCTCTCTCTCTCTCTCTCTCTCTCTTTCTCTAGAATCTCTCTCTCCTCTCTCTCTCTCACTCTCCCCTCTCCCACCTCTCTCTCTCACTCTCTCTCTCCCATCTCTCTCACTCTCACACTCCCCTCTCTCTCTCAACTCTCTCTCTACTCTCCTCTCTCTCCTCTCTCCCTCTCCATCTCCTCTCCTCTCTCCATCTCTCTCTCCTCTCTCTCTCTCCCTCTCTCTCTCTCTCTCCTCTCTCCTCTCTCCCCTCCCTCTCTCTCTCTTATCTCTCTCTCTCCCCTCTCTCTCTCTCTCCCCTCCCCTCTCTCTCTCTCCTCTCTCCCCTCTCTCTCTCTCTCTCTCCTTCTCTCCTCTCTCTCTCCTTCTCTCCCTTTCTCTCTCTCCCTCTCTCTCTCCCCTCTCTCTCTCTCTCCCTCTCTCTCACTCTCTCTCCCCTTTCTCTCCCCTCCCCCTCTCTCTCCCCTCCTCTCTCTCTCCCCCTCTCTCTCTCTTTCTCTCTCTCTCTTTCCCCGTCTCTGGAAGCCGATGTTACTGTGTACTCCATCGGTAATTTTTATTATTTTAGAAAGTTATTTTAAGAATTTTAATAAAATTCAAATATACTAGGATTTATGCATCCCCCCCTTCTTTTTTTCTTGACAACTGGAATCAAAATAATTACAACCTATATTTGTAATTAAACAATCTAATATTTATTAGATATTTATATATAAATAATTTCAGCTGTCATTTCTCTCCCTAAAAAAAAGTATAAGCCTTAATGCTCGCAAACTATTTTAGTAAATTTATCTGGCGAGGACAAATGAAAGAATTTCCCAAAAAAAGAACTCTTTTATTTATTTTTATTTTTTTTTTTTCAAAATATAATTGCATTTATGTTGTCCTGGATATAACACTAAACTACATCTGCGTCCTGGGTAAGACGATAAACTACGTCCAACATCAAGGCCTCTGATCAGGAGGTTTTGATGAGCGTGGAACCACTTCTTAATTGCTGGTGTTCCCAAGTCCACCCAGACCCAGGGTGGTAGCACCTGTTAGGGTTCCCAGCTATGGGCAAATACTTAACCCCCAAACTGGGGTCAAAACACTATGAAAGTGTAACAATAGGTTTTAATATCAACAATACATTATTACCAGCAATACATTTTTAGAAAAAAAATTGTGTCAGCAATACATTTAAAAAAAAAAAAAAAAAAAAAAGAAAACATTACCAGCAATATATTTTTGGAAAAAATATTACCAGGAATACTTTTTTGAGAAAAATACTACCATCAATAAAAATCTTGTCTGAATTAAATAAGCCATTCAGGTTGAGAAAATAAACCAAACCACACCAAAGCAGTTAAATGTTTATCTAAACTTATTCGTTTACAAACATTTTTTAAAATTTGTGAATAAAAAAATGTTCATACTTATTTCAGCAAACCTAGACCTTCGTGACCAAGACAAAAACGGAGTATCTAAAGGAGGATTTTTCCTTGACACCGCTATTATTTCAACTAGCTTCACTCCTCGGCAATGTTTATAGTTGTAAAAAGAGATTATATAGATACCTATTTATAATAAAATTACCAACAATAGCTATTTATAGTAAAATGACCAACAATAAATTTTATATCAAAATGACCAATATTACATTTTATAGAAAAATTACCAACAATATATTTTATAGAAAATTATGAACATTACATTTTATAACAAAATGATGAACATTACATTTTATAGCAAAATGACTAAAAATACATTTTATAGCAAAATCACCAAAAATACATTTTATCGCAAAATCACCAAAAATACATTTCATAGCAAAATGACCAACGTTACATTTTATAGCAAAATCACCAAAAATACATTTTATAGCAAAATCACCAACATTACATTTTATAGCAAAATCACAAAAAATACATCTTATAGCAAAATCACCAAGATTACATTTTATAGCAAAATGATCAACAATACATCTTATTTAAAGTTGAAAGTATACAATTGTGCTCAAAATATATTTAATTAAAGCCATAAAATTGCAAAATCAACGAACACACATCCAATTTGTACGATATGCCAACAATTATACACAATAAAATACATACTACAAATTGTAACGACTTCATCCAAATCCGTTTCAAATACTACCAAACAACGAACACGAAAAATCTCTTTCATGATATTAATCTATATCATATCCTAGAATTTCTTAAAGAAACTGTATGCCAAAATATAGTAAAAATACCGGCAATACATTTTTTCTGTAGCTGAAAGCATACAGTTTTTTCCAAAATATATTTAGTTGAAGCCATAAAATTGTGTTCAGATTTAGCTTTCGGTATTAAATACCCCATAGAGCTGTTGATATGCCGCTAAAAAATCAATGAAACAACCAATATAAAAGAATTATTTTATGACATTAATCCATATAATGTCCTGCAATTACTTAAATCAAACTATTTCAAACTATAACTTCAACAAAACTACAACATATAACAGAAACATCACCGCCTCTTATAATTATGTCCAGACAAACATCTATATGCACAAAAGCTGAGTATCATCTACCATGTATTCACTTGTGAAAGCAGAATAACATATATCATCTTTTTATTACTTCCAAGATCCCAAGAAAATTCAATTTCGATATTAAATGACCCATAAGGAATTGATACGCCCTCAAACAAAAAAAAAACATTCATCCAATCAGTTCTCAAGTTGAACAATATATACATCGTTTCGAGTTTCCTCTTCATGTGTGAGGATAGTGTCCCACTGGTTGAATATTAAACTACAGTTCAGTACTCGTTTTATTTAACATTTTTCGATCTCTTAATACTTTGCTTAATTTCTGAAATACATTTTTCCTTTTCCTATAGAACAGAAGCTGTCTCTTTCGGATTGTTGGGAACATCGTCTAGTGTTCCTGTAATTTATCTAGAGGTTCTCAAAAAAAGAAGGGGGGCTGTAATGTTATTAGTCCTAATCTGACACCTCGGCATCAATCATTTCTTTGCCGCCATGACCTGGCTTCCCTCTGTCTTTTCTATTTTCATGGCAAATTTTCTTGAAAACTCTTCTCCTTGATACACCGACCGCATGAATCTAAACCTACAACAAGATTGGCAATTAGGTCTCATTGTTTTACTGTGGAAATTTCTAGCTACAACCGTTCTACTTCTCGACTTTGGGTCTCTGTTCTAATTTCTTGCTTCCCTATCAGCTACGATCTTCAAATATTTAAATGCATTGTCAATCGCCATCTTCTGCCGTCCTGAATCCTGTTCTGTTATTGTCCTTTCTCCTCGCTGGGGTGATCTCATTCTCATTAAATTCATTAAATTTCGTCTTTAAATGACCCACAAGGAGTTGATATGCCGTTAAACAAAGAAACAAACCCCCACAAAGCCACGAAAACGTTTTAGAATTCTATCAATAACGAAAAGTGAGACTCGGGCAGGACAAGTATAGATGTTGCATCAATATACCGTTTTTGGTCTGATCTGACTCTTTCAAAGATAACGCCTTTCAGAAGAAGTCAGGCGCCTTTTGGAACGGTAAAAAGAGCCGCTCTATTTCTCCTAAAGTGGCTGCCACCCAAGGTTTTGAGAGCCCTGTCTGATCTGCTATTTAACCCATAGCTGCTGGAGATTTATTGAACATTTTCCTGGGTGTATTTGTGCGAAAAGTGAATGTGACGAACTCGACCAGAATTCGAACTCGGATCGCCACTTTCTCTTTTTTCGAGTTGCTAATCATTACACTACCTGCACAACCCATATGAAAAAAAGAAAAAGCGGAAGTGAAAGAAATAAAATCACTCAATGGTTGTAAATCGACGAAATTAATTAACTCATGAAAAATGTGTCAAACAATAATGAGATGAGGATGTAATAAATGTATTTTGAGAGTCTGTTTATTCCTCTTCTACGTTACAAAGAATAGAAACCCGAACAAAACAAAACGGACGATTAGCCTTATTGCACTGGAGACCACACAACAACCTCGACAATAACACTATGCACGTCGGCCATGTTTGAAAGTAAAGAAATAAAAATGGAAGAAAAAAATACCAGGAAAGGGATTATAAAATAATGTTTATAATAACAATGGCGGAATAGCTAACAAAAAGGCGGGAAAATGGCCAATATGTTGGCAGAAAGTTGATTGCAGACGATAGAGAAGACAGAGTGGTCGACCACCGGGACATTTTTAGTGATTACTTTTGATTTTCTTTTATTGCTGCCAATGCTTTGACTTGTTAACAAAGAAATCGGATTTAAAGAAAAAAAATATTGGACAATAATGTACACGCTTCGAAGAACTAATAGTGTCGCCGTTACAGTGGTTAAATGGGATTTTTTTTTATTCAACACACCCCGCTGGTTGCAATTATGGAAGATTTAGTACATGGAGCCACGTGGTGTACCTCTTTCTGAAGTACACCATTCAAAGGAATGGTATTTGGTGTGCAGTCGGGCGTAATAGTTCGGTTGGCTGTGAAAAGCAAAACATAAAACTATTCCCAAAAAGTTTGTAAACAACGGTTTCATTCATATGGATTTCCGGCGAAAGAAATTGAACTTTCCAACAAATATAGTTGGGAGATGTTTTTTATCTGGCGAATGCCTCCAGCTATGTAAATAAAGTGCTCTTGGTTCCTTGGGAAATAAAATTGGAGAGACAAAACTCTGAAGACAAATAGCTTTATCGTGGCCTAGATACTAAATGCAAATAGTATACGGTCTTATAACCACCGGACCGCAAAATACCGGACCATGGACTTAGTACTGGAAAATAATGGTACCGAATTGGGGACCATTTTATATACCAGACCGGAACTTAAATCGAAACGGATCATTTTACCCTACTATGGACCATTGCTCATGGGAAATATGGACTTTAAAACCTTAACCATTTTATAAATATTGTTTAGAGCTGTGGAAATAATAATTTGGTACCAGACCGCGAACCATTTTGTATCGGGCCGCGGATCGTCATTTTTGGATTTTGCTACCGGGTCGCTAATCCAATTTGGTACCGGACCGGAACCATTTTGTATCGGGCCGCGGATCATTTGCTACCGGGCTTTGGACCATTCTCTAAAGGTCTTTCCTTTTGGTATCAGACCGCGAACCATTTTGTATCGGGCCGCGGATCATTTTATACCGCGCCGGTATTTTGCTACCGGGTCGCTAATAATTTGGTACCAGATCGCGAACCATTTTATATCGGGCCGCGGATCATTTGCTACCGGACTTTTGGACCATTTAAACCGGCATTCTTCAATTTTTGGTACCAGACCGCGAACCATTTTGTATCGGGCCGCGGATCATTTTCTACCGGGCTGTGGACCATTTGCTACCGGGTCGCTAATAATTTGGTACCAGACCGCGAACCATTTTGTATCGGGCCGCGGATCATTTTCTACCGGGCTGTAGACCATTTGCTACCGGGTCGCTAATAATTTGGTACCAGACCGCGAACCATTTTGTATCGTGCCGCGGATCATTTTCTACCATTTAGACGGAATTTGCTACCGGGTCGCTAATAATTTAAACCAAATGGAACCATTTTTGTATCGGGCCGCGGATCATTTTTCTACCGGAAAAAAGACCATTTTGCTTCGCTAATAATTTGGTACCAGACCGCGAACCATTTTGTATCGGGCCGAAATCATTTTCTACCGGGCTGTAGACCATTTTACCGGGTGAATAATAATTTTTCTAATGCCGCGGAGGACATTTGCTACCGGGGCTGTAGACCATTTGCTACCTGGTCGCTAATAATTTGATACCAGACCGAAAACCATTTTGTATCGGGCCGCGGATCATTTTCTTTTGTACCGAATTAAAAATAAATGCTTAATTTGTACCGGACCGCAAACCATTTGATATCGGGCCGCGGATCATTTGCTACCGGGGACCATTCGCTGCAGAGTCCTAATAATTTTATCAGACCGCGAACCATTTTGTATCGGGCCGCGGAAATTTTCTACCGGGCTGCGGATCATTTTCTACCGGGTATAAACCATTTGGTCCGGACCTCAAACCATTTTAAAAAACGCGGATTTGCTACCGGGCTTTGAGATACCATTTGCTAATAATTTGGTATCAGACCGCGAACCATTTTAATCGGGCCGCGGGCATTTTTTTCTCGCGCTGTGGGCTACCGCAGACCGCGAAATCATTTTTCATTACCGGGCTGTAGACCATTTGCTACCGGGTCGCTAAATAATTATCCATGCGAACCATTTTGATCCGCGGATCATTTTTTACCGGGCTGAATAAAATTTGCTTGAGTTAATAATAATTGATTTTGACCGCGGTATCGGGCCGCGGATCATTTGCTAATAATGCTTAGACCATTTGCTACCGGGTCGCTAATAATTTGATAAAATTTAGAATGCGAACCATTTTGTATCGGGCCGCGGATCATTTGCTACCGGACTTTGGACCATTTGCTACCGGGTCGCTAATAATTTGGTATCGGACCGCAAACCATTTTGTATCGGGCCGCGGATCATTTGCTACCGGGCTATTGGACCATTTGCTACCGGGTCGCTAATAATTTGGTATCAGATAATAAAGAAGAAATCATTTTTTTTTCGGAATTTTTCTTTTTCTAATATTTTTTTTTATCGCGGAATTTTTTACCGGGCTGTTGGATTTGTTTTGTTAAACTGCGAAATTAATTATCGGGTTCATTAACTACCGGGCTGTGGATAATTACCGGCCCGCGGAAAATTAATTATAAAAATATATAATTTGGTACCAGACTTGTAATTTGGTACCAATATTAAAAGAAAGGAAAATCGTTTCTTTTTGGTTTTTCTTTTCATTGACTATCGCTGTCTTCCTTACTCTGTTTTGTTAAACGCGTAACCGTTGCAATTTATAGGACTCCTGAAAAATTTTATTTATGACACATGTGGTACCACTGGGTTACAGGACTCCTGACATTCCAATTGCATTAGAATCATTTTTCTCTACGTTCATGGCTGATTCAAAAGTGTCCGTAGATCACTGGCAGATAGAATTCATCTAAAAACCATCTAAAGTTGGGAAAATAAATATATATAATAAAGAAAAAAGGAAAGAAAATAAGATTTGTTTTAAAGAACTAAAATAAATATTTACCAGATTTATCTTATAAGAAAAAAAAAGATTATGTCTATGTGTGTGTGTGTGTGTGTGTGTGTGTGTGTGTGTGTGTGTGTGTGTGTGTGTGTGTGTAACGAATGAAAGGCCGCAATTTTCGACGGATTTGTACCAAAATTTACATGCACATGCTCCAAGTTAGCGGGAAGGCCAAGACCGACCTTGCATTTCCCAACTCCAATCGATAATGGAAATAATCGATTTCTTCATGCTTCTACGGCAGTTTTCGTGTAGTTTGCGGCCATTTTCTACTGGCCAGAGTGAGAGCCTATAGCTGGCTGCCACGAATAGACAGGAAGATTCTATTGGCCAGCGTGAGAGCCAACAGCTGACTGACGCGAATGTTAACTAGCATGCTAGCATGCAAAAAAACTCGATAGCTGCATTCGTCACAAGTGGGAAAAATTTAAATCTGCATGGCACTTTACTCCAATTGGCTCATTCGATTGCTTAAACTCAACGTTGATTTTGATTCCACAGAACTGGGTTGGGTGTGAAAAAGTATTTGTTGTTAACATTCTTTTTTCATTCGGTTTTTCCAGTTACGAGTCCTTTTTTAAAGCTGATCACTTTGTGTTCATTTTGTTTAGTTCTTTTTTCGTAACAGATTTAATGTTTAGTATAGAGCTTAGAAAAAATTCGCAGTGTGAGATAGGCAAGAAGTAAGGCAGATAGCAATATCAGCACGGCAAAGGGCACTCCTTTAAAGGCAAGGAAGGGCAAAAATATTTTAAGTCAAGTGATAGCGATTGCTGTATGATTGAATCAAGCACGGGCAACGCCTGGCCATGATGCTAGTAAACAAATAAAATTCATTCATTCATTTGTATTTTACGGCTTATCAACATTTTTGCTGGTTATTTAAAGTCCGAAAATATTGTTTAGAATGGAAGAATTCTTTTAAGAGAATAATGATCTACTGATCGAATTTACCTACAGCTGAAAGAAAGGAGAGCCGGATCAGTAAATTTCCCAAGGATACTTGCATGTAAGTAAATACAACGAACCTGACTGAAACTCGGCACCCCGATTTCTAATTTTGAGCCGTTATCATTTACACCACTTGCACATCCAAGCTTACAGCATCTGAAGCGATCACCCGTCTAGGTACTGACAAGGCTCAATGTTGCTTAACTTCGGTAGTCGTACGAGGACCTGTTTTAAAGTGATATGACGGCAAGCCTCAAAGAAACAGGAGAAAAATCATGAATGAAGTAGAGAAAAAGGAGACTCGGTAAGAATCCAACAGCAAATATGAATGATCTACAAATAAAATTATGAACGACGGGTTTCGACGATTTATGCTGGTACCGGCTTCTTCAAGGCGGAAAAAAAAGACAAAAATGTGTGTACGGAAAATGCGTTGGGATTTAAGAGGATAAGATAAATTACCCTATCACAACCGATAAAGGTGTTTGTTATTTTATATATATATATATATATATATATATATATATATATATATATATAGATATAGATATAGATATATATAATGGACTCTCCGTCGATTTCGACGTATGAGGATCTGACAGCTTATTGATTCAGTTATGAAAGTTTGTGCAATAATCTTAAGTGGCATTTAAGACCCGCTAGTGATTTTAAAAAAGGCCACATATGGAGCAAGTGTGAGGATTGTGAGATGATATATATATATATATATATATATATATATATATATATATATACAGTGTAACCCGGATATAAGAGAAACCCAGATATAAGAGATTTTTTCTCTGGTCCCAAATTAGAGCCTGTGTTAATGTATATAAAAATAGATAAACCCGGATATAAGACTTCTTCTCCGGCCCTGAAAACTCTCTTATATCCGTGTATATATATATATATATATATATATATATATATATATATATATATTATTTTATATATATATATATTTGTGTATTTAGGCAGCATCTTTTCATTTATACACGTTTCATTAAATAATATAAACAAGTGTCGTCTATTTATTTTATGTAATTTTTTTTCGTAACGTCTGATAAGTTTAATAACATTATCGTTGAACGAAGAAAGAAATTCACAATATTGATCCATATTTTTTTAATACAATCTAAGCTTTCGGCTTACATAAGCCATTATCAAAGATGTCAATTACAACATATTAAGCAATATACGGACAAGACAGTGATGACAGTCTGTCATTGTTTAGATAGATGATTTCTAAGCAACGATATACACGTGCATATAAGACGCTAGAAGCGAAAATCGCACCGCATCTCATGACGTCACACATGACCACACGAGAATGAATTGGAGAATGAAGTATGGGAAGCCGTTGGTATAAACCAATGGCTTTTGTTACCAATTATAGACATTTAAGAATATTTGTAGAGATGCTATAATTGATTTTGTTTAGGTTGGGTTTCAACTGTTTCATGTATAATGCTTTAAGGATTTTTAGTTTTTGTCTATTGTTTTCATGTCGAAGTATAATTGTGTTTTCGACAAGTATTTTACGGAATTGTGTTTGTGGGCAGGCATGTTGTTTTAAATGCCTAAAAATGTTAGAGTTTTCATTCAAATGTAGTGTCAAGCGTCGTGAAAGCGAGTTTGTGGTGTGACCAACATAAATATTGTTTAATTCATTGGAGATACACTCTCCCAAAGGGCACTTGAATTTATAAACTATGTTGTTTTTTTGCAAATCGCTAACCGTAGGAGAAGAATCATTGCGAAGAATTAAGTTGGATATACTAGATTTAGTGTAGTATATGATTAATTTGATTTTTTTGCTAGGATCTGTAGTTGATATATTAGAATTTAATAAATTTTTTAGTATATTTTCATCTTGTTTATAATTAGTATGCATTTGATTACGATATAGGAGATTAATATATTTGAGATCAGTAGAAGCAGTATTATGTACAATTTGCTTATTATTGAGATTTCTAAGAAAGCATCTTATTTGTTCATCATATATATATAGTTTGGAAATTTTATTATTAATAAGTGTCTGTTTTATATTCTTTAGTTCACTGTAAAAAAATCTGTTTTGTGGATGAATTAGTTTCTGCACGATGTATTAGATTCTTTATAATTGCTATTTTGTAGTAATATGGACATTTGCTCTTGTAGTTAAGTGTACATGAATTTATACTTATATAGGTTTTTGTATGAAAAAATAGTAAATTTGTTATTATTTGTGTTTATCAAATATCAAGGAAGGGATTTTATTAGTAGTATTGAGTTCATATGTGAATTTAAGGACAGAATTATTTGGACCATTTTTGAAGTTGAATTGTTTCATCTGTATTTTTAACTTTTAATAAGAATATCATCAACGTATCTTAGCTAGATGGATGTTTTTTTAAAAACTGTAAATATGTTTTATTTTCGAGGTTCGACATCTAGAAATTATTTAAATGTCGGATTTAGTACTGAACCCATGGAGACACCATTCACATTGTATATATATATTGTTATATATGATCGAAGAAAGGGACTTCAGTAGTACAAGCTAATAGTAGTTTTTTTAATATATTAGGATTAATTTTAAGTGGGGGTAAAGATGAGTTACTGTATATATTTTTTATAATTATGTCAATAGTTTCACTAACAGGGACATTGGTAAATTGGTTTTCAACATCAATTGAAGCCATGATTTCATTGTCAATATTTTTTCACTTTTTTAGGATTTGGATTACTTCTAATGTTGACTTAACACTATATTTTTAGGAAGATAAATATTTAATAAGTTGGTTAATGTATTTTGTTATCTGATATGCAGGAGTTGGAATTTGCGATATGATAGGACGGAGAGGATATATAGGTTTATGTGTTTTTATATTACCATATATGTAGCCAGGTCTATAATCACCAACAATTTTAGGGAGTTTTAAAGAGTTCTGTTCAGCATTATTAGCATTAATAAGTTTATTAAGCTTTGATTTTAGTTGGTTGGTCGGGTGCTTCTTAAGTTTTTTTTTAAATTTTTATGTGATCATGGAGTATGTGGTCTATTTTTTTTTTTTAATCCAAAACATTTTTAGGATGACAAAATGTTGGTCTTATCAGCTATTTTTTTAAAATAATTTTGATATCATAGATTGTATTAAAAATTATGGATCAAGATTGAGAATTTCTTTTCTTCGTTCAACGATAATGTTATTAAACTTATCAGATGTTATGAAAAATTTTTATAAAAAATAAATAGACAACACTTGTCTATATTATTTAATGAAAATATATGAATATATATATATATATATATATATATATATATATATATATATATATATATATATATATATATAAAGTACCTCAAAATAATCATCTATTTTATCTATCTATCTATAAAATCTATTTTTCTATGTTATCTATCTATCTATCTATCTACCTATCTAATGTAGGTAAATTGAATAACCTTTATTTTGAGATATATTTATATTTTTTATTTCATATTTTCTTAATAATCTCAATTTGTTCATTTTAACGTCTTTTAAATAAATTTTTTTTTTCTCCTGTAATTTTATTTGCTTACTTTTCTCTTTCATTTTTTTAACTTTCTTTTTCATTAATATATCTATCTATATATTATTTATCTATCTATCTATCTTCTATCTATCTATCTTAAAAATATATATCTATCTTCTATCTATATATCTATCTGTCTATTTTTTTTCAATAGATAGATAGATAGAACCTGAATGAGATAGATAGATAGATAGATAGATAGATAATAGATAGATATGAAATAGATAGAAAAAAAAAATTGAGAGATAGATATATATACATAGATAGATAGATAGATAGATAGATAGATAGATAGATAGATAGATAATTTTTTTTTTTTTCAGTTATTCCTTTTTCATCATTCTTTTTTCGTTAGGATTAAAAATTTTTGTTTCAAAATTTTCATCAGTTTTGTCAATTCCTTCAGCGAAGTTGGTCGGAAATTCTGACTGCTTATTGCGTGTGTCTTCGCCCAAGGAATGTCACGCCATTTTGCCCTGTTGAGCATTTACGGAAAACAAAACTGGACGTTAATAAGGTAATGCTGAAAACATCAAAAGTTTAAAAATAAAGAAAAGAATGATAGTAAACATCAAAGAGAAAAGACGAATGTCTATCGATTGATTAGCATTTTTATCACTGCTTTTCTTGACTTCTTTTCTTTCTTTCTTTTTTCCCAATCGCATTTTGTTTTATATTCGTTCTTTGTTTTCTCGATCTTCCCTGACAATATTTTTTTTTCTCTCTCTTTTTCAGTTCAAAGTTTCTTTTTCATTTTCTTCTTCAGATTTTTCTTTCTTTCTTCATTCTTTCCTTTTTTCTTTTCCGTCTATATTTTCCTTGTTCCTTTTCTTTTTTTGATTTTTCTTCTCTTTTCCGTCTTATTTTTTGCCTTCTCTTTTTCTACTGATCCTTGCCCAAAACCTCATCCTATCCCGCCATTTTTCTGCTTCCATTTTCTCTTTCTAGTTTTTCTTCCCTCCTCTCCTTGTTTTTTCTTATTCTCTTTTTCGCTTTTCTTCTCGTCCTTTTCCCTTTCTGATTTCTATTTGCACTCCTTTTCTCCCTCTTTTTCCTTCCTATTTTTCCTCTCTTCCTTTTCTCTTCGTATTTTCCTCTCGTCTTTTCTCTTTCTATTTTACCTCTTTAAATTTTTTTCTATTTTCCTCTCTTCCCACCCTTCCTTTTATCTTCCTCTTTTCCTTTTTCCTTTTCTATTCCTATTTACCTCGTTTACTCTTTCCTTTTCTCTCTCTATTTTTCTCTCTTAATCTTTCTTTTCCTCTTTCTATTTTCCTCTCTTCCCCCTTCCTTTTATATTCCTCTTTCCTTTTCTATTCCTATTTACCTCGTTTACTCTTTCCTTTTCTCTCTCTATTTTTCTCTCTTACTCTTTCCTTTCTTCTTTCTATTTTCCTCTTTTTATTTTCATCTCTTACTCTTTCTATCCTTTCCTCTCTCTCTCTCTCTCTCTCTGTTTCCTTTTCTTCTTTTATTTTTCTTCTCTTCCTCTTTCTTTTTCTATTTTCCTCACTTTCATTTTCTTTTTCTGCTTTCCTTTCTGCCTCTTTCCTTTTCTCCTTCTACTTTTCTTTTCTTTCTACCATTTGCTTTTTTATTCATTGCTTTACCCAACACCTCCTTCATATTCATTTCTTAATTTCATTCGCCACTTCCTCTTCTTCTTCATATTGTTTGACCTTGTATCCTTTCATCACTTTTTATTTCTTGCTTCATATTTCTATTCTTCTTCTCCTCTTCTAATTCTATTTTATTTTAGGTCTCCTTTCTTTCCTTTTCTATATTATATCTTCTTCATTTTTATTGTCTCACCTGAAACATATCCATTTTTTCGTTTTTTTTTTTTTTTTTCAATTTTTTCACCTTCTTGTTTATTTTTGTTTTTTCATCTTCTTTGTCTTTTTCTTGATTTTTTCTTCTTTTTTTATCTTTATTTTTCTTTTTTATTTTCGTTTTTTTTTCAATTTTGTTTCGTTTTCTTAGCATTTTTCTTTCAATTCCTTTTTTTTCGTTTTTGTTTTTTTTACCTTTTGACTATTTTCCTTTCTTCTTCTTTTTCTTCTTCTTCTTCTTTTCTTCTTTCTTTTTCTTCTTCTTTTTTCTTCTTCTTCTTATTCTTCCTCTTCTTCCTCTTCTTATTATTATTCTTCCTGATCTTTCCTCTTCTTCTTCTTCTTCTTCTTCTTCTTCTTCTTCTCAACAAAAGCGCTCGCTTGTGAATCAATCCTTTCACGTCAATTCCGTATTTTTGCTTTTTATAAGTGATCTCATGTCGGGGAGCATCCTAACGGTTTACTTTCATCTCACTTTCTTCCTTCCTCTCCTTCCCACTCTATGCCCTACTCTCTCATTTACCCCCCTCTCCCTATCTATCTATCTTTCCCTATCTATCTCTCTCTCTTACTCACTTATTTCCCCCCCCCTAACGGTTTCCGTTCGACATTGTCTTAGTTCTTTCGTCTGGTGTGTTGTCTTTCACTTCTCATTTTTGGCTATTATCCGAACATCCTGTAGCTAAACCGGAAGTTGGCATGCCATGATTATTCAATCTTTATTCTTGATGATGATAAAGTAACGGGCTTCCGAAAATAAAGAACTGCTTTCCAAAATTCGATGACCAAAAAACTTATCTTTTTTGCCATTTTATTTACTTGTTTAATGATTTATTTTTTATCTTTCATTTTTCTTTTCCTTTTTTTGTTCTTTCTCGTCCACAGTCTTGCTGCGGAAAAGCGTAAACGCTTCACTTCCGGTTACTGTCACTGACACACAATCAGTGTAGTGGCATGTTCCTTTTGAAAAATCATTCGTCTGGTCTCTTCCTTGATTGTCGAAATCACTGTCAATATTCAGTGCATGGAGTTATTAAAAGAGATTTACCAAATACTTGTTTACTTTCATAGATAGATAGATAGATAGATAGATAGATAGATAGATAGATAGAGAACAGACTAGATAGATAAATACGAACAAAGATAGATAGAAGATAGATAGATAGATAGATAGATAGATAGATAGATAATAGATACGAACAGACTGAGATAGAAGATAGATAGATAAATAGATAGATAGATAGATAGATAGATAAATATCTTCCTTTATTTATTAAACAGTATATTTACTTAAGAAAAAAATTTTCGTCTACTGGCCTGAATATTCGAGAAATATTATCTTAAAATCCTCGACCACAACAAAGATAACATTATCCACAACAATAAACTAATCAAAACTACATACATAATACTATCTACCAACTCCATATGTTCCACCATGCAAAAGAATTTATCCTATCTAAACAACATCTAAATAGTCACAATCATTTCCCAAACCATCATGGATATGCGCAGAACTAAAAAACCATCATGGATATGCGCAGTACTAAAAAACCATCATGGATATGCGCAGTACTAAAAAAACCATCATGGATATTCGCAGAACTAAAAAAGCATCATGGATATGCGCAGAACTAAAAAACCATCATGGATATGCGCAGAACTAAAAAACCATCATGGATATGCGCAGTACTAAAAAAACCATCATGGATATGCGCAGAACTAAAAACCATCATGGATATTCGCAGAACTAAAAAGCATCATGGATAATGCGCAGAACTAAAAAACCATCATGGATATGCGCAGAACTAAAAAACCATCATGGATATTCGCAGAACTAAAAAAGCATCATGGATATGCGCAGAACTAAAAAACCATCATGGATATGCGCAGAACTAAAAAACCATCATGGATATGCGCAGTACTAAAAAAACCATCATGGATATGCGCAGAACTAAAAAACCATCATGGATATTCGCAGAACTAAAAAAGCATCATGGATATGCGCAGAACTAAAAAACCATCATGGATATGCGCAGAACTAAAAACCATCATGGATATGCGCAGTACTAAAAAACCATCATGGATATGCGAAAGTACTAAAAACCATCATGGATATTCGCAGAAAAAAAAAGCATCATGGATATGCGCAGAACTAAAAAACCATCATGGATATGCGCAGAACAAAAAAAAAAAAAAACACCCATAACAATAATAATTCAGAACCAGACATATATATAAAAAAAAAAATGCCTACACTGTTTCTCACAATACATTGTGCCAACATGCAGAAATCTAAAAAGACGTATCTACGAACACAAAAGGGACTTTATACATAACAATTTATCAAACGCACTATTCAGACACAGAAATAAATTAGACTACAATTTTGATCTTAAAAAGCCACACTTATCAAAAGAGAAAATAATTCACACGGGAGGAAAATTCTTGAGAGTGCTGCTATTGAATCTTATCAAAATATAAATGTAGGCCCTGTTTTTTGGGTTTTTTTTTTTTTTCCAATCTCACCTTTCCTGAAAGAATTACTACTTTCCCAAGCCAACATACACGACCACAAATATGTTGAAAAATCAAAAGTAAACGATTAAGTCCCTCATCTCATGTTTTTGAAGGTGTACCACACATCCAACCGTTTCATGACATGACAATCTAATCACAATTTAATCAATAATAATTTAATTAAAAAAATTCTTGACTATGACTCGCTTAATTTTTGGCAAACTTTGAATTATCAAACTTCGTGTCCTTCACATGTTTTCATCGACCTTTCAATGACCTGATGAACACTCATAAACGTTATCAAATTTTATATATATATATATATATATATATATATATATATATATATATATATATATATATAATAAAAAGGCTTAAACACTAATATTCCATGGTGATAATTTATTCCATTGGAATCGTAAATACGATCCAATTCATCAGACCTACAAATCAAAAAAAAACAGAAAAAAACAACTCCGGAAATAAAAACAGAATTTAGAGAGTTTGTAATTATGAGGGGGGGAGGAGATTAAACCTTAACAGAGAGAATTTTAGGACAGGTGGATGGAAGGGGTTTAAGTCAGAGAAAATGAATGTTGTCAGATGTATAAAGATACATTTCTGTGGTGACATACACACACCATAGACAATCTAATGTTAGAATAAGATGGAGGGAAAGACGAGTTTGGTATATATATAAAGGGTGTTGAAACAAAAATATTATATTTTGAAGTGATTTTATAACATATTTATGTTATAAATTTTTTAAATAATAATTATATATATATATATATATATATATATATATATATATAATTCTCAGAATCGTTAAAAGAAAAAGACAATATGTATAAAGGAAAAAAAGATAATATAAAAACTGTGTGTAGTTTGTGTATAGGAAAAACTACACACAGTTTTCGAATTGTTTGTTTTTTTTTATATTTATATATATATATATATATATATATATATATATATATATATATATATATATATATATATATATATATATATATATATATATCAACAATTCATTAAATGTAAGATATAAACTATTTACAGGGCTAAAAACCTGTGCTGGTGGTATCACGGCTGCGACTAGCTTCAACCGGTTCTGACCATTTTTAGACCAGTGTCAAGACAAGCAAGACCAGCTATGACTGCTTAGACCAGCTCTGACCAGCTTGGATAAGCTATGACCAGCTAAAACCAGCTATGATTAGCTTAGACCAGCTCTGATAAGCTTGGACAAGCTATGACCAACTAGGACCAGCTCTGACCAGCTTGGACAAGCTAGGACCAGCTTAGACAAGCGGCCCGAGTGAAAAAAACTCGGGTCCCCACGTTAAAAACTGACCTTGTGTCACAACCTGACTCAGTGGGGGTCAAGTAAATATCTACTTACCTGGCACAGAGCTCCGTCCCTGTGCTGATGGTATCACGGCTACGACTAGTTTGAACCGGCTCTGACCAGTTTAGACCAGCTATGACAAGCCAAGACCAGCTATGACTATCTTAGACTAGCTGTGACCAGCTTGGACAAGCTATGACCAGCTAAGATTAGCTTAGACCTATTGTCCTCATCTTTGTCGCCATATTTATCACAACGTTTCGGCCGTTGTACGCTCCGGCCTTCTTCAGGTGATAAATATGGCGACAAAGATGAGTACAATAGTCCGAATAATGTAAATAGTGTACATAATACCTCATCTCAGAAATATAGACAGACTCTGTAAACAACATGTTACACGATTTGGACAATTTTGCTGTTACACCCGGTATATACAGACTGAGATAGATAGATAGATAGATAGATAGATAGATAGATAGATAGATAGATAGATAGATATACAATAAAAGGCACCAATGAGTTCTCAGTGGACACACGCACACACATTATCAACCAAATCCCGCATAGAGCAATTAGAATTATGATACCCAAACACACAATCATTACACGCACGAACGCTACCTGACAAGATAAATACATGTGAGGTTTACTTAATCAATAAATAACAAATAGCAAAAAAATAAAAATACCAGAATTTTTGATGAAGCTTATTGTTGAAACTTGACTAATGCATGGAATAATAATGCAACACAAAATGTACTTAGAACAAAATGTATTGAAACAAGAAAGTGTACACAATATTTATATATAGTCTTTTGTATATTCCTGGTAAGACCGTTCCTGGAGAATGTGTTGACTGAGTCGCAGTCGGGCAGAGTCTCTGGTTGAATCTCTTGATTCCACCCCCTCTTCCCGGTACCAACCATATTTATATGGTCGGTACTCCACTATGCAAATTAGGTGGATCCTACCACAACACTTATATAAAAGCGAAACATGTTCAGTTTAAAAACGTTTCCTATATGTTTCCTATCATATCTGATTGTAATATTTTATCCCAATTCATCTTGTCAGACTATGAAAACTATATCAAAAACACATCATCATTCAATCCATCTATACAAAAAGAAACTTTTATTATCAGGTTATCCCGAAGAAATGGAAGAAATTTCCTACTCACCCACACTGCGGCAAAAATCACCCCCACCCAAAACTAAAATAAAGTACTTAAGACCAGAAACGATATCTTCTCTAAAATCATCCAAGACTACCTCCTTAAACGCGCAGAAGAACTCAAACCCCACAGAAAGCATACAGCTGTCAAGTCTACAACGATCGGAAAAACTCCCTGTCCACATCCAGATCCGAAACACTATTTACATTATTCGGACTATTATACGATCATTAAAATTTCAGAATTTCGTTATTGCTCATCAAAATGACTGGAAGAAAGCTATAAAAAACAACAATGGAAAAGAGAGGTACCAAAGCATAAACAAAACAACTTAGGAAACTTAGCATTGCAGCCAAATTATTCTAAAATGCTGCCAATAACAAAGGAAAAAATTAAAAAATCTTATCCAAGTATTTTATAAAAGAAAATAGAGTAGAATATACATTTCAAGCTCAATTGAGGTTTATAGTTCGTAACTATAAAATAAGATGAGGTAACATAAACTATAGATCTGTCAGCGGAATGTCATGACATTATTGTTACATAATCATAGTGAAATCATTAAAATCTAATATTTATTACTGATACAGTAATTGTGGCACAAAGCCACAATTAAAGTCATTAAATCAATTAAATCATTTAAATTGAAATCATTAAAGTCTTGTGTCGAAGGCTTTTTTAATTTTAGTCGTATATTAATTTAAAATATTATTTTTTACAGGCTTTATTTTTTAAATGGAATAAGATCATTCTAAATTTCAGAATTAATACCCATCAAAATGAGTGGAAGAAGGCAATAAAAAAATAACAATGGAAAAGAGAGGTAACAAAGCGTAAACGAAATAACTCCAGTTTGTTCAACTTAGGAAACTCAGCATTGCAGCCAAAATATTCTAAAATGCTGCCAATAAAACAGGAGAAAATGAAAAATACCTAACAAGAAATTTAATTTAGCATCAAAATTTCTTTTATTTTTATTTATTTCTTAGGTAACTAATTACATAAATGTCAACAATGTTTCTGTAAAACTTACTATTTCCTGTATTAAATTATTAATAAATATTATTATTGTTATTATTTTAATTTAAGTGTAAGGTAGTTGTATATTTACAACTCCTTACGGCTAACCATGAAAAGAAATGTTGATCAAAACTTACTTAAAACATTTATGTGCATATTTACATTATTCAGACGATTGTCCTCATCTTTGTCGCCATATTTATTACAACGTTTCGGCCGTTGTACGCTCCGGCCTTCTTCAGGTTGTTAGAATGTCGAAATGAACCCTTTATTTCGCTCACTGAGGTGGACTGTTCTAGTTCCACATGTCATGTCTAATGGATGTCAGTTATCAGTTATTTCCTGTTAGTTCCCCTCTCCAAATTCTCCACCGCCTTAACCAGATATTGAACTCATACTCCTTGGGTCCTGTCACTGGATCTAACTAACGTCTTTATCCACTGTATCATACGTCCAGAACCGAAAGCTTACGACAAAGCATCTTATAAAAAAACAGCAAACAAATAAATCGCCTAAAACACAAGCTACACAATTTTTGCATCCGCGGTAGACGGATGAAGATCAGTAACCCGAATCTTGTTTAGAACATCTCTGGCGCTATACATTCTATCACTGAAATGGAGGCTTTAGGTCTCGGCTTAAAATCTACCCCTGAAATAAGAAATTCACCCAAACTAGCTTAACCAAAAGACCATAGATTTGACCACAAAGATTCGAAAAAGGTTTCACACAAGGTATCATAGCTGCCACCCTCACCAATAGCAAAGGAAGAACACTACCCAGGCGATACCTGTTGGTACCAGAAAACCTTTTTCAGAATAAAAAATATAATTATAGACTCCTTCGATAAAGGTTGTGGGAAAGTCATCATGGACACAATGAAAAATTAGTATCCTTTTTAAATGGTTATAACAATTTTGAAAGCCACTATGACACAGCGGGTTACTGAGTGTAAAAGAATATAAGACAAGCAAAAACATTACTAATGAGCGAGAACAATAAAAGAACAGGAATTAAGAAGACAGAAGATAACGATTGACATTGCATTTAAATGTCTGGAGTTCAAAGGCAATAAAGCCACTAAGATGCAACGGTTTACTGAGTACTAGAGAATATAAGAAAAACTAATATTAAGGAGAGAGAACAATAAAAACAACAAAAATTAAGAAGACAGAATATAATGATTGACATTGCATTTAAATTTTTGAAGATCAAAGGCAATAAAGCCACTAGGATGCAAGGGGTTACTGAGTGTTAGAGAATATGAGAAAAACTACTATTAATGAGAGAGGGCAATAAAAGAACTGGAATTAAGAAGACAAAAGATAACGATTGACATTGCATTTAAATGTTTGAAGACCAAATATTGATTGGAAAGCAAGAAGCTGGAAAAGCAAGAAGTGTAAGAAAAGAAACTATCAGCGTAGAACTCACGGTTCCATCTAGTGAAATCAACTGTATATCGATGAGACCTAATTGCCAGTCTAGTACTGAGCTTATATTCATAAAGTCTAGTTACCCTAGCGAAGAGCACCTCCGAATAGTTGTCATGAAAGTATTTCTAAAAAAAAAGACACAGAGAGGCAACTTTATGGCGGTAGGAAAGTGATTGAAGCCGAGACGCCAGACCAGGACCGATAATATTGCTGATTCTCCTTTGGATTCCATCAACGATATCTAGATATATAACAGGAAAACCGGAACATTGAAGTATTGTTTAAATTATCTGTATGAGTAATGTAGTATTTTAATCTCTAAATTCATATTTTTTTAATGGTTAATTAACCTCTTGTAGGTTTTTTAAAGCAGGAAAATATTTCTTTTGATTTGCACCAGTCCATAAGTGGCTGCAATATTCAAGGCAAGGACGAATGATATACTTATAGACATGTAAGATAGACTGAGGCAAGAAAAATGTCTAACACAACACGGTGGACCGATCAAGGCAGTAAAGCCACTAAGACACTAGAGGTCACTGGGTGTGGAAGAATTCAAAAGCAGAAACTGTTCTAAGGAACGAGTAAAAAGAATCAGGAGGGTAGTAAAAAGCGATTGAGATTGCATTTAAATTTGGAAAGCATGGAGTCTTAAGGGAGTACCAGAAGCGAGAAGTGCGAGAGAAGAAACTGTCAGCATAGAACTTACGGTTACATCTAGCGAAATCAACTGTATATCGATGAGACGTCGTTGGCAGTCTAGTAATGAGCTTAAATTCATGAAGACTAGGTACCCAAGCCAAGAAATTATTCATAGAATAGACCCAGAGAGGAAACTTTACGGTGTTGGGAAAGAGACTGAAACTGAGATGCCAGATCAGGACCAATAATATTGCTGATTCTTCTTTGGATTTTAACAACGATCTGTAGATATACAACAGGAGAATCAGAACATTGGAGTATGGATTATAATTTGGGCGTGAATAATGATTCATTTGTTGTTTTATGGTTTATCCACCTCTTGTAGGTTATTTAAAAACGCAAAATATTTCTTTAGATTTTATCAAGCATCTCTAAATATGTAGCAGAAACACCAGTCCATAAGTGACTGCAATATTTAACGCAAGGTCGAATGATATACTTATATACATGTAAGATTAATTCAGGCGAGAAAAAACCTTTCTAGCACAACACGGCGAAACAGTCAAGGAAGTAAAGCCACTAAGATACAATGGTTTACTGGGTATGGAAGAATTCGAATACGGAAACTGTAGTAAGGAGCAAGAACAAAAGGAATGTAATTAGGAGAAAAGCGATTGACATTATATCTAAATTTGGAAAGTATGGAGCCTTAAGAGAGTTCCGCAAGCAAGAAGAGTGAGAGAAGAAATTGTTAACATAGAACTTACGGTTGCATCTAACGAATTCACCTCAATATAGATGAGACCTTGTTGCCAGTCTAGTAATGAGCTTAAATTCATAAAGCCTAGGTACCCAAGAAAAGATCGTTCGAACATTTGCAAAGAAATTATTCATAAAATAGACACAGTATACGGTGTTGGGAAAGAGACTGAAACCGAGATGCCACATCAGGACCAATAATATTGCTGATTCTTCTTTAGATTTTATCAGCGTTCTCTAGATATACAACAGGAGAACCAGAACATTGTAGCATTTCTTTTTTTACGATTTAGTAACCTCTTGTAGGTTATTTAAAGACGGAAAATATTTCTTAAGAATTTATCAAGCATCTCTAAATATGTAGCAGAAACACCAGTCTGTAAGTGACTTCAATATTTAACGTAAGGTCGAATGATATACTTATATAGATATAAAATAGATTCAGGCGAGAAAAACCTTTCTAGCACAACACGGCGAATTTATCAAGGCAGTAAAGCCATTAAGATACAAGGGGTTACTGGGTGTGGAAGAATTCGAATACAGAAACTGTACAAGGGAGCAAAGAAGTGTAATCAGGAGGACAGTAGAAAGCGATTGACACTGAATTTAAATTTGTAAAGTTGGCTGAAAAGCATGGAGCCTTAAGAGAGTTCTGCAAGCGAGACGTGCAAGGGAAGAAACTGTCAGCATAGAACTTACGGTTACATCTAACGTAATCAAATTTATATCGATGAGACGTCGTTGGCAGTCTAGTACTGCGCTTATATTCATAAAGTCTAGGTACCCTACTGAAGGGTACGCTAGTGAAGGGTACCCTACGAACAACTGACATGAATTATTTATAGAGAAGTAACAGGGAGACAACTACACGGTGGTAGAAAAGTGACTGAACCCGAGACGTCATGTAAGATTGATTTGATTATTGATGGTTTATTAACCTCTTGTAGGTTATTCAAAACCGGAAAATATTTGTTTGGTTTTCATCAAGCATTTCTAAATAGGTAGCAGAAGCAGCAGACTATAAGTGATTGCAATATTTAACGTAAGGACGAATTATTAGGCTGGTGCATAATTATCAGGCGTTTTTTTTTTTTTTTTTTTTTTAAACAATATTTATTATAAAAAGAGAAATATAACAATTCAACAATAACATTTTTAAATGATTATTCCGGATCGTAGTCAACATCTACTTCATTTTTATAACATGAAAATAAAATAATATTTTTATTAAAAAAATTAAACAAAACAGCAATTTTTATTAAAAAATAACTCGCCTACAAAAACGCCTGATAATTATGCACCAACCCAATACCTATAGTCATGTAAGAGAGATTCTGACGAGAAAAATTGTGTAGCCCAACACAGTGAACCAACTTTCTTAATCAAACCAAAGAATACATATTCTATTCATACGAACCTATCCTAAAAATCTTGTCGTATGCCGTAAAAGAAAATTAATCAAACCAAAGAATATATATTCTATTCATACGAACCTATTATAAAAATCTTGTCGGCAGTAAATAACCCATTGAGGGTGATATGCCGTAAAAGAAAATGAATCAAACCAAAGAATGCATATTCTATTCATACGAACCTATTCTAAAAATCTTGTCGGCATTAAATAACCCATTGAGGTTGATATGCCGTAAAAGGAAATGAATCAAACTAAAGAATACATATTCTATTCATACGAACCTATTCTAAATATCTTGTCGGCATTAAATAACCCATTGAGGTTGATATGCCGTAAAAGAAAATGAATCAAAGCAAAGAATACATATTCTATTCATACGAATCTATTCTCAAAATCTTGTCGGCATTAAATAACCCATTGAGGTTGATATGCCATAAAAGAAAATGAATCAAAGCAAAGAATACATATTCTATTCATTCGAATCTATCCTAAAAATCTTGTCGGCAGTTATTTAAATAATCCATTGAGAATGAGATACTGCAAAACAAAATCAACTAAATCAAACCAAACCTAAAAGCTTCACTCAGATGACATTCTTCTAATATAACTTTTTTACAGCAAGGTTCATCCTTTACAAGGTCCGGGGGTGAATCGATGTAGAGGGTTACTTTAGGAAGCAAATCGTGTTGTATTTAGAGGAGATGATAACGGTTAACCCTAGTCTCGAAGAGTTTATGAGTGTTGTGATTGGGGAAACATCCTCTTGGGAGTCGGTTTCACATAGCAGTGGTTCGCGGGAAGAAGCTGTTCCAGTGGGACTTCTCACCAATGGAATACGGGAGGAATGTGGATGATTTGCTACTATGTAAGTGGTATTGTTGGTCCTTACCTTGAAGGTTATAAATGGCAGAACCAAAGAAATGTAGTTCGTCCGAGCACTTTCCGCAGAAGTAGCGACAGTGCAGCGAGAGGGCTTGCCACATCCCGTCTGTGATGAGAGAGGTTGGAAGGTAAAGAAT